TGTGTGTGTGTGTGCGTGTGTGTGTAACCAAATCCACTAAAGGGAGTGCGCTCACTTGGGCTAAACATTACATTTGTGGTTTCAATTGATTTATAACAGATCATAATCGCTGCATTAACGTCGTTCTGGGTAATAAGATCTCAGTCACTGTTTCCGTCGGCAGAGAAAAAAAGAAGTGTGATGGTGAAATGTCAGAACTTCTTTTTTTCTGCAGCGAGATCTAAAAACCTTTTCCCTGATATCTCATACCTATCACCTTGTGTCGGCTTCCTGTAAACTGGGGGTGAGAACATGAATTTAATTATTGTGCTTTTATTGCATTGCAGCGCTGAAACTGGACTCCTGTGTGTATATATGTGTGCGAGTGTGTTTTAGTGTAATGTTGGGGGCCAGTGTGTAATCTGATTGCCTGTGTAGCGTTAGTGTGTTGGATCAGTATCAGGTTCCAGCCCCGACTCTGCTGGGTCAACACTCGGCCGAGGCCATTAAAGGAAGTCTGGTTCAGGGAAAGTTCACCGCTATTTTCTTTTCACCATGGCAGCAAAACAAGAAGGAAAAAGAAAGACTGAGACAGAGAGACAGAGAGAGAGAGAGAGAGAGAATAGATTTGTAACATATTTGTGGCCCCCAGCTTCAAAGCTGGCGGGGCCTATTTTGTTTTTCCTAATTTGAGACAGATATTTCAGGGTTCCTGTGTATCTTTAGTACAAATAAAGTCCAAATTAAGCTGGGAATAACATTCTATCCTGATTGACCTCCAATACTGAAATAATCTTATCCAAATACAAACCCAATTTCCAGAATAGTCTGGTCCGATGACTCAGTAAAAACAATTAGAACTTAGAAACGTCATTTTATTAAACAAACACTAGTCTATGAATTGATACATTCAAAACATTCCCCACAGAGCTGGACCAAAAGGAGCTTAGAGATGTAAGATAACAACGTTGGGTAAAATATGAACATCCATCAGGGGTTGGAAACAGATATAGAACGGAACACAAAGTACTCTGTTACTTATAAAAACAATGTTTTCAGTAAACAGCTCCAAATAAAGGTTTAAACCAAGTATTTTTTTGCGTGTCAGGACCCGTCCCAACTTTAGTGGGAATAGAATCTGTTTTTGTTCATTGTCTGGGAAAAGGGACACAAAAATAAGAAAATAAACATCAGATAAAGAATAAAAACACAGCAGAATTCCAATCATAATCCACTTATTCTGTGTTTTTCTTTGCCTCTCTCTCTTGCAATAATGGCCTACTTTGGAGGGGTTTCTGTGCCAGGCTATTTAGGGAATCAGCATCTGCTGCTTGATAAATAGCCTGGCTCTTTTGTTTGAGGCCAGGTTGAGTTCCTCACTGGACCCAGCTTATTAGCCTGGAAGGCTCTGACCAGTCCGTCGCAGAACTGTTTTAGGACTTAGCATCGTTCTGCAGCTTTGGCTGGTTCACAAGGAAGCTATATTTCATCAGAGTGTTGTGGGACCAGGTGCCAAACAGATGCAAATCACAACAAGTTTTTGGAAAATAATAGTGACCATTCCGTATTTGAACCTTGACAAACACCCACGTTCCCTTTAATATTTATGTATTTGCACAAAAACACACACAAAAATAAATTAGAAATAAATTAAAAAAACTCAAGGTCAGAGTTTTGATACATGAATAATACAATATTAGCCAGATACAACAAAAAATAATAAATATGCCTAAACCAAAATGGTTAATTGTTAGCAACATTTTACTAGTCTTAAATCTTAAAACAAGCCACTACATTAACCAAAAGATCACTGTATTGGAATCTATTGAAAACTTACTGCAATTAAAAGCCATCTATTCTAGAATGAATTGTGAAACAATACCGCAGGTTTAGTCAAATATAGCTAAACGTTAGCATACATTGTAGAATAGCTTGGTGTTGGCCTACAATTAAAGTAGATTTAAACTAAAAACAAAATAGAAAAAGAAAAAGCAATCGTTTGAATAAAGGAAACATGTTACCCAATAGAAGCATAAAAACAATAAAGAAATCTAGAAGATATAAGAATATTATCAAACGATAAGAATAGGTCACCCAGGAAAAGCTCATGGTTTACACTTTAAACAGCAAAATGAAGGATTGTGAATAATTTGTAGAGAGACTGTACTCAAATGTTAGTTAAAACTACACTAAACGTTTCAAAAAAGTTAGAGAGTTAACATACAGAATATGACAAAGGAAAGTTGGAATTGGACACAATTTCTTGAATTCTGTAAAATCCTAAACCCCAGTACGTGCCCTTAAACAAATTAGTGATAGTTTGGAGTCCCTCTGTCCTTCTGTTCCACCTTCTCTGACACCATTTAACATTGATGTGACATATTTTTTTATCATGCGTTTGAGAGCTCTTTTTGTCCTTTTAGTATTGTTGGTATAAAAGAAAATCCTTTTACCCGTCACGTAGCCTCCATTGAGGTCTTTCATAAATAATTCAGCCGGAGCACAAGTGAAAGTGATGACAGCAAAACTGTCTGCGATCCCCCCTCCTCATAAGATCAAAGAGGTGCTTCTATAGAAGTAGGAATTACATCTGCAGACGTTTGTGGCCTGAGCGACCGGTTCTTCTTTTCTTTTTTTTTCTGCATCCTCTCACTTTTCCGTCATCTCTTCTTCCTCCTCCTACCTACAATACTGCTACTTCCTTCTATCACTTGTGTGTTTTCCCTCCAAAGGGACACAGTTGAGTGAAGGTTTGCTTTTAGTGGCTAAAACCTCCCGAGCTTGTATACGAGAGAGTCAGCACATTCAGACAGATAGAGCGGTTGCACTCTATTAGCAGAACTGAGGTAAATAAACCTCACAAGACACGGCTGAATAAATTCAGCCACTAAAGGCTGCGCGGTGTCGCTGCTAAAACACTGCACGGCCCTGTAGATGCTGCCGCTGGGAAATGAAGTGAAATGTACTGTAACACAAACAGTCTCGTGTACTGATAAAGTGCAGAAGGAGAAATCACTCTGTAAAGAGCTTATTATTATTCACAGTCCTTTTATTTGTTTCATTCCCGGCCTTTATTGGCACCAACGGCGTTCGTTTTGTTTTGTAGGCGTTCTGTCAGTTATAACAACCAAATTACAGCCATTACATTACAACAGATGTGTTTCAAAAGAGTGATTTATCTGGTATTTAATTAAAAGAATTTTTTTTCTAGAACCGACACAAAACCTTATTAAACCTAAAGTTAAAATGGCTCCCACCTGCCTCAATTGAAAATATGTTTTAATTCAATTTTCCCTGCAAAACCAGGTTTTTATTGGACTGAAACAGTCATGAGAACGTGTGATTTTAAACAAATCGAATCTGAATTCTGATTAATGATTTTTTTCTTGCCACAACTTTGACATTAAAAACATTTCACCCATAGTCCTAGATCCATAGTCGGAGTACCAAACCTGGTACTATTATCAGGTCAGAACAAGTATTTTGGTTTCAAAGCATTCTATATATTAGTTAAAATTAAAAGATGAGCTAATTGCTTTTACTCAGTTGGTAGAATCAACCAGAAAAACTTCCTGTTGCCAAGGGTTGCATCAGGAGGGTATCTGAGATAGAAACACATCAACCCCTGAACAAAGCAGGAAGTGAAGGTGATGGAATATTAGTATGAGTTTCACTTTCCCAAAGACTTTCTAACTGACCAGAAACAGTCCATGGACAGTTTCTGGTTAGGATGGTAACTCTGTCTTTAAGGTGACCCTGACAGACGGTGCTCAGGCCTGCTCAGTACAGCATGAAGTTCCACTAAACTTGGAGGTCGTCCTCTTGGGCCGTAGCTCAACACGTCCGTCCCAGTTCTGGCTTCAGGTCCTGTCCAAATTTAACATAAAACGTCCCTATATTTGTTGAGTTTCCTTTCCATAATTACACTACGGAAACCCTGTGGTGATGTGAAGATGGATTGGACCTCTGCGATGGAGATTCATAACTGGAGAGAACTCAGTGTCCTGGTTAAGCTTCAAAATGGACTATTGTATGAGAAATAATGTATGAAGCCCAATATGTCACCAGTGTCAAGTCGCCATTATTCATCTTCAGCGGAGACGTGCCGCTGCGTGTTCATAAAGAATGTAGCTCCATAGGATCGCCTCATTATTTGCTCATTGTGTTCTTTGTTTTTTTTTTCTCTCCCGGCCCGTAGGCTTCTGCTTGTAACTATAAGCCAGCAAAGTAGGTATTGATTGCAACTGGAAGCTGTATTAATAAGTGAATGAGTAAGATGTGTGGAGAGTCAGGGGTGTATCTGCTTTGGAGGCCCTTTTCTCCTCCACAGTCAGGTGGCACGGTCATTTATCACGCCTGGATCTGTGCCCCTCGTTTGGTGTAATAAAACTCCCCCATCAGAACCGTCCAACAGGTCTGAATCACTCTGTCACACCACCTTCCAGCTAAGGCACGCATTAAATCAAGCAAGCAGAACATTTCCTAAGGCAGCCATTGCCTTTTAATTTCCTGAAGAACCTTAAAATATCATTCATTACCAGAACTACACATATTTGGTTTTTAAAAGTCTCATAAATCAATAGTGGCCTGACTGCAATAATTATAACAAGTTAACATGTAATTTCCAGGCCGAGGGCCGCGCGCTGGATTTTTAGCATATGCAAACGAGGCAATTCAAATAGTGTGGGGATATTAATACGGAGGAACAGGTAACGAGGTGCGGGTTATGAATTATGCATCAAAAAGTGGTTGATCTTCAATAAAGGAAATGAATTCAGCGTGTAATCTAATTAGTTATGGAAGTCTATTATGTGGAGCTGCAGAAAGCAACTGTCCTTGAAGAAGAAATTTATTTACAGTACATGTTGGCTCTTTGCAATAGATTGCATTCTGCAGTTCTTTAAATGTTAACACCGCCCGCTGCCCCCACACCTCCACCTCCTTCCTCCTCCTCCTCCTCCTCCTCTTCCTCCTCCTCCTTTACTGCGCTCACCCACAGTCTCCTTCGTCTTCTGTTTCAGCTCCAGACCTGGTCGACCTCCGAAGAGGACCCAGAGCGTGACATCTCCGGAGAACCCCCACATCATGCCCCACTCAGTCCCAGGGCTCATGTCCCCTGGCATGATCCCACCCACAGGTATGGTTGAGACGACACAGGACGTATTAGCACCTGAGTATTGACTGTTTGCACTAACACTCACAACATTTTGTTTAGGCACAAAAAAGATGAAGTTGAAAAGGATTCAGAAATTGAAATGTTATATTTTCAGGGTTTTTTTTTTTTTCAGCAGAAGTATCTTTGTTTGGATCTTCCCTCTGTTCCCCTGTCTTTCTACCATTTGCAAGAAAGACAGAAGGAACACAAATATCAATAATAGAGAAACTAAGAAAGGAAAAATATCACATTTAGAAACTACACACATTTTTGATTCGATTTGGAAAAATAAAATTAATAAATAAAAGTGTGTGCTTCAAATTTCAAAGCTTGGTCGTCAAGAAAGCAGTGCCAGTACGGAACTGTACCAATCTTCAGATGTTTGAATCCCAGTCTGATGACATTATCATGTCAATCTGTTGACGAAGCAGGTAAGATCCCTTCATGTCAATGTAAACCTGAACTCCACAACACTCACAGCTGCATCTGCTGGTTCTCAGCCAACGGCTCAGTCTTGGTGACATCAACAAACCAAGACACACACTCTCTCTCTCTCTCTCCCTGTCTCTCTCTGTCTCTCTCTCTCTCTCTCTCTCTCACCCTATGATCATCCTCCCTCCCTGTGGCTCATCTTCTAAATGGCAGCCAGTCCAATGTGACACATTCACCCAGACACCAGCAGCTCCATCACAAAAAAAATAAATAAATAAAATAAAACCTCATTCACTGCTGCTCCTCAATCCCTGCAAAAAAAAAAAAAAAAAAAAAAACAGGAGGAGGAGAATAAATTGAAGTTGAGATCTTTTCTCCCAGATTATTACAGTAGATGTTGCACATCGCCCTGAGTGAATTCTAATTAGTGCGATTAAATCCACTCCAGCAGTAATATGTACATAGCAGCAGTGACGCCCAGAGCAGGTTTATCACCAGAAGAATCAACAACAACAAGAGCCGGTGCCCAAACTCACCCTGGGGCCACGTCTTATTGCAACTAATGCTTTTGTTCTATTTGAGGCTGCCTGCATTGTGACTGCTTTGATGTTCCTGGCTGCTATTTGCATATTCTGCCCCTGATTTTGATGTGTATTTAAATGATATTGTTCCGGCGAAAGGAGATCTTGGAATGCACATTAGCTGTACAGTACACTCCAAGATTGGGATTAAGATTCCTGGTCGACCCCCGCTGGGAGGAAAATTTGGAGGTTTAGAGAAGCTAATGTGCAGGAGATAAACAGTAAAGATGGAAAACAACAAGCGAATAATTAAAGGACAATTTCAAGTAAGACTGTTTAATTTAATAAAGTTGGTTTATAAAGTGGGCTAAGACGTTTTGTTATCACTCCAGATACTAGCAAATACTTGTTGGAAAATAAGTAGATGAACAGAAAAAATTAATAATTTTACAAATTATTATTTAAAGGTAATAATGTATATATATATATATTTGTTGTTATTTTTGTCTGAATATGCAAATTACAAGAAATATTAGCAAAACATTTTTATTAATCTTGATGATTTCTATGGTTTTCATTTTCTTCACAGCTACAGTTTGTGACAGAATCACAAACAAACCATTTCAGTTACCTTGTGTATTTGTTAAGGTATTTGCCTCATGTTTGATAATATCTATTGTCTTCATCATACTTAGTTTAGCTGTTAGTAAATATATTTATGTGTTTTAAAAGTCATATAATTTATTTTAATCGTGGTGAACCCAACTCTGCTCGCTCCGTACCATTCAGTCTGATGCAGTTTCACTGCTTTGAACAGAGGGCGTAGCGTGAGGTCATTGTGTCTGTGCTGCAGTAGCAGGAGGGTGAAGTGAAAGGCTGCGGTGAACACAGAGGAGGACAAAGTTGAGAAGGAGACGTGTTATTTAGTGGAACATAAAGCAACAGAAAAGGCCTTTTGATATCCTCCTCTCTGAGCCCACAGGGAGTGTATGATCTTGACATTTAGTCGGGCTGTTCAAGGGGGCAGAGATAAAGTAATTGAGGTTTTTTTTTTTTTTTTGGTCTTTTCACAACTGCCTTAAAGCTGCCTAACTGTGGCCAGACTCCACTCATTCATCATTTTATGCCTTATAATTAACCCATTTCTTGTTTTTGATGATGGCATTAAACGTTAAACGTCAGGGAAGTGAGAGATTATGACAGATTGATAATGAAGTGTAAATGACCACACAGAAGTTAGCATTTGGCTAGGTCACTAATTGATCGTCCTGCCACGTCTAAACGATCTGATTGATGATAAAAGCCCATCAATGAGAAAGCGTCTTAAACAGTTACACTGTCGTGTCGTGTTGCATTAGTTCATTTTCCTCAGATGAGCAGACGGAGCGCGAGCCGAGGACGGCGGGTTCTTTCTGCAGTTTTGCTGCTTTTACTCAACAACACTGCAGCAAAAAAAAAAAGAAAAAAGAAAAAAAAAAAACAGAAATGATCTGGTCTTATCGTGGAATAAAAGTCCTGTTAAAATGTCACAGTGACACCAAGACAGAACTTTCATTTTGACCACGTCTTGACTTGTGGTTCATATCTTTAGCAGGAGCTTTTTTTACTTAGCAAAAACAAAAAAAAAAAAAAGAGTAGAAGAGTAAACAGTGTTCAGGATTCACCAATCAAAAATCCAGCTGACTATCAGATGGTACACACATGAGATCAACTAGATTTCTTTTTTTAATTTTTAAAAAAACCATGGAGCATCGACATCATCAGAGATTTTGTGGCAAAAATTTGCTTTTTTTTTCAAATGAGCTTTTAAAAACAGAAACTGTGTTGTAGTCTGAAATTAATTTTAATATTTTTTTGGCCATCTTTTTTTGTGGCAGGTGATGCCTTTTAGCAAACTGAAAACAAAATAATTTACAATTTATATTTTTAGAATTTCACAAAGTCGTCCTGCACAGAAAATATATTGCTGCAGCTAAAACTGCTTTAAGAAGGTATAGTAAAAGGTGTGTGTACTCTATATTAAAGTAAATTTTTCTTAATGAACGTTGACATTGTAAATCTTACTGAAAAAAACAAATCAATTCAAATATCTCATCCTCACTCTTTTATATTAGAAAACCTGTCGTTTGTTGACTTTTGATTTTTACTAGACTTGTATAAAAGGGCTTCACTGCAGCCGTTTGAAGACTTTTACTGCTGGACTTTTGTTTGCCTTGGTTCCATAATGCCAACTGTGATCAGTAACTGTTTCTGTGCAGCATTAGACATGGACATTAAACAGACAGTAGAGACAAATCAGATTAAAGTGAATGACCATATTCAACACGGCGAAAAGCTGTCGTCTTCACACTGTGGAACAGGAGCACAGGAGCCTATATGTGAAACACATTGTTAACATATGTATCTTTGCCCTTGACACCGGCTCCATTTAGAAAAAAGGACATCTTAATATGCTTAGCTTTCCATTTCAGCATATACTCTCATCATATCTGTGTGTGAGTGAGTGTGTGTGTGTGTCTGTGCACGTGTGAAATGAATGTGTGCACGGCTTTGCCACATGCCTAGAGGTGGGTGTCGGGTGGAGGGCTGGTTGC